CTAGAAAAGTATCGGAAATAGGCATAACCATGCTTCCTGGAATCTGGAACCCGAGTCTCCAGGAAAGGATGGCTTGGCACGATGGCAAAAGGGTCTGCAAGAACATTTTACTTTCCTCTCTGGACAAAAATGAGGCATTTGGCAGCCAGTGTGGCCTAAAAGGCATTCTGTTATGTGTCCGTCTCTCAGAATTTTCCAAACTGTGTAATTCAGAAGATTGATATCGACTGTCTTAATTACCAGGTGAGAAACATCAGTTTGTTTCTAAATTCATGCAAGGGGCAAGGCATGGAATTAGGAGCTTCTAAGTATTGATGGCTTGTCTCCGTGGGAAAGAGGAACTGTGCTGTCCCCTGTCCCCAACCCTGGGTGAACTCGGTCAGTCCCAGGTGCATAGCCTGTGATGGTGGGAGGTCGTTCTCCCGCCATCTCTGAGGCCCTTTACTTAGTGCTCTTGTTACCTCTCTCCAAATCCATCTTCGAGCATGGTGCTCCTAGCCACTCTTGGAATGGAGCCACCTAGAACTCGGTTCCTGCACAGGCTCCTAGATGAAACCCATCGCATCCCTACTCCTGGGACCGTGCAGAATGTGCTGAGGACGTGCAGGCATTTCACAAGGTGGGGAAAGACTGTAAAGCCAGTTGTTTCTCCACCTTCCTCATCCCACCCTCCCCCTCCTCCTTTCCCGCTGCTCTTTCCCTGGAGGGTCAGGCAGACTTCCATGTGGTCTGGTCCTAAATTAGCCCTTCCATCCACATCTCCAACCTGTCACTCACAGAAGAGCCAGCACCCCCTCAGAGAGCCTCTCAGGCCCACCTTGCTGGGCAAACTGGTGCCATCCAAACAGAAGCCCCCGCTAGCAGAAATCCAAGTGGACCTGGTATGCTCCATCTTACATCAGGGAAAGGCTAACCTCTCCTTCAAATAACCATCAGCCTCCATCTCAGAGAGCAGGGATCATTAACTCTAAGCGGGGTGAGAGCACTGGCAGAGGAAACAGAACCTTCCCAGCAAGCTTCTAACCTCCTGATGCCCACAGGGCCCTACTCCCTGGAACCCAAGCCCTCCCCCAGCTACCGCCCCTGCTCAGCTCTACTCTCAGTCACTTTGGGCTATTGCGATGGCTCCTGACTGGCACGGACCCTGGCGCCTGGTAGGTAGGTGCACGCTGAGCGTTTGTGGAATGAACAAATAAGTCAGGCGAATCCCAAGGAACCTCAGCCCTCCTCTGCCACAGGCCCATCAGTGCGGAGCTGGGCTGCCACGCACCAGGCGCTTGCTGGAGCTGGAGACACAGACCCATCGACCAGTGTAGGACAAGGCTACCGGACAGGTGTTGGAACCAGAGACACGTGGGTACACGTGACCGCTATGGAACCTCCATTCCCAACAGAGACAAGAGACCTGATGGGGTAGTGTTAGGTAGTGGCAAGTGTTGTGAAGGAATAAAGACTATGGTAACCGACTGGGTACTGAGGCATTTGGACAAGACTCCATTCTTTTTTGTTTGTTTGTTTGTTTTATTTGCAGTGCTAGGGATTGAATCCAGAGCCTTCCGCAAACCAGGCAAAGGCTCTCCTTCCACTAAGCTCTGACCTCAGCCCCAAGATCCTATTCTTTGGTGCCCCCCATCCTCAATGTAAAAGGGAGTTTACATCTAGAATTCTAGGTCAAATCTATACTAGGGCTGAGACTGTAACGCCAGCAACATCCTAGATGTGTGCCTTGAGCACAGTAACTCTCTGAAGCCACTAAGGTACAAAAGCAGAGGCTGCCACCCTCCTCGTGGAGTTCTGGAAAGGACAGGACCACGTCTATGAATCCCACTGTGACCAGAAGTCAGGAAAGCTCCACACACAGCAGCTGTGACACTGATGATGCTTTTTAAGGGGAGAGATTCAAGTCCTGCAAGTGGAGCTGTGAGTGAGGTCTCCTAGGAGAGGACTCTTGGCCTCCACAATGGCATTTCATAGTGCAGTTGAGGGGAGCAGCCCCCTCACCGTGGTTGAGATCAGCTCAGCCTGGCTCTGCCTCAGTACAGGGTGAAGCCCGAGCAGCCCAATCAGACCTCAGATCTGCCCACTGCCTGCACCAGTGTCGGGTGGAAGAGGAAGCTAAGGCAGCAGGCCTGCGGGTCGGCGTGGAGCCACCCTTCTACGCTGGAGGCACAGAAGTCTCTGTCCCCTTATATGTAAAATATTCCCCCACAGGCTTCTCTGATAACCCAGGACCTGGATGAGAAGTCAACCACAGAGCTGGAAACCTCACTTTTCAGCCAGGCAGGACACTTAGCCTCATGGATGGAGCTTCTCGGGCTGTGGTGGCCCAGGTGGATTCCTTGAGGCGGTGACCTGAATACAGGAGGCTTTGCCAAGCTGTGTGCATGGAGCACAGAGGTCATCCTGTAGGAGCTGAGGAAGGGGCATCACGGGGTCCCCTTGTAAGTAAGCCCGGGCCTGGTTCCTATGGGAGAGGCAGGGGGAGAACCCCAAGCGCTCCCCGGAGGCAGAGTGCTGTCACGCCCGGGAGAATCGCTGCCCAGCTCTGGTGGCCATCCTGGGGCTACAGGCAGAGGGGAGGAGCTGAGCCCACGTGTGGTCCCCAGAACAACCCGTCTCAGGACCTTCTCCCGGGACCGCAAGGACAAGCCGCTGAACAACTCACTGCCCCCAGCTCAGGGGTCACTGTGGTTCAGGCCTCAGAGCCACCTCATGCCTCCCCGTGTCCAGGCCCAGGCCCCAGTGTGCCTAGTGAAGACCAAAGGGCTGAGCTCTCTGGGGATCCCAGCAAGCAAAGCTTTACAAATGTGTCCAAAGCTTTACAGATGTAGCAGCACCAGCAACAAAGTGTAAAGCCAAAAGGAGCTTTTAAGGATAAGAAGTAACCATTGATCAATCATTGCTGGAAGCACAACTGGCTTTGTTTCCTTTATTAAAAATGATACTAGAAAATCCTTGTCAAGATAATGAGTCAGAGTATACAGCCAAAATACGTCCGGGACATCAGGCAATGCATTGCTAATAGTAATCATTTCTGTATTGTCTTTTCCATCATTTTATTATGTTGTTGTTTGCTTGGTTATTGAGACAGGGCCTTGCTATATAGGTTCAGGCTGGTCTCAAACTTGTGGTGATCCTTCTGCCTCAGCCTCCAGAGAGCTGGGATTATAGGAGAGCACCACCAAACCCTAACCCTACGTCACTTTATTCTGTGTAGTTTTCTAGGTTTCGTTGTATTTGGAGGAGTCATCAGTTTGTTTTTGTTGTGGCATCTCTACCCATAGTTTAAAAGCTCATGTCCATGCCTGCTCTTGTACTTGCATGGAGCCACCCTTCTATACTGGGCATTCTTTCTTAGAGAGCCTCCAAAACTGAAAGAGCTCCAAGTCCTGCAAGCCCTAGATCCTTTGCGATTGAGCTGAGCCACACCAGGCCCTGGGCTAGACCTTTGCCCAGCAGCCTTTCAGTTAAGCCGAGTTCAACAACTCTGAAGTTATTCTATTATTAATCCTGTTCTATAGATGGGAAAACAGGGGATCAGAAAGGTAATTAATTTATCCGGGGTATTATTTAGTTTTCCCATCACTGACACACAGTACCCAACACCCACAACTCAAAGGAGGAGAGGGTTAACTCGATTCATGTTTTAACAAGATTCAGTCCCTGTTCATCTGGCTCCAAGGCAGAAACACCAGGGCAGAATGGTGTGGTAAAGCAAAGCTGCTTAGTTCACGGCGGCGGGTGGGAGGAGAGCAAGGGAACAGTGCCGGAGAAGGCAAAGGACTGGAGACAGTGCCCAAAGTGACGTTCGGGGACACACACAGGTACACCCAGAGGTGTGCTCCACCCATCTCCCAGCTGTATCCAAGGCCACCCTAACACAGCCCACCCTAAGCACCACAGCCAAGGTCAATGTGAAAAGGTGGTTCTGGGATTCTGACCCAGGAAGTCAGCCGCCAGTGCCCTCTTTGGGCCCTCTGATGCTCTGAGGAAGGACAAGGCTGATCCCCACGCTCACAACTCCAGTCTCCTCCCAGGATTACCATGCAGTGACTGACCCAGTGCTTCCCTTTGGAGCAGGCGGGGAGCCTGGCTGGCTCAGCTCGGGACATCTCCAGGTGACTCCCGGAACCCGCGTGGGTTACCCTCCCTCCTACCGTCCCTCCCGCTTGTGTATTTGGACCTTTGACTGAGGGGCCTGTGCTTTAGCAAAAAGGAGTAGTAGCTGGCCAAAGATGGCTAGGTGCACCCAGGAGTAGCAGATTGCAGAGCAGACCCTCTGCATCCAGGCCCAGCTCTTGGCACTGGGGTGGCGCTGGGGCTGAAACCTCTCTAAACTGTGACACAGGAAAATATTCGCCATCAGAGGAAACTCGGTACAATTTCGGGGGGAGCGTGCAGTAAAACCTGTTTCCAGTTATGCTTTTCATTCTAAGAGCCAGAGTAAACACAGAGATAGGAAAATAAGACAGGGTTCAGACTAAATACACAGCTCCAGACGTCACAAATGGAACAACCTGTTCCCTGCATTACATCGTGTAGCATCTTTTCCTGCATTGCCTTCAGGACAGTTAAAGCTCGATCCAGCAGCAGCCTGGCTGGAAAATTCCTGTGTAAGGATTTCTCCAGAAAGAACCGAAGCAAGAAAAAAAAGGAAGATCCTGCATTGCCCTGAGAGAGCTTCACATTCGCCCAACACCTGCCCCTGGGGCCCTGTGACTCACCCTCTCTCCCCTGCAGAGAAAAGTCCTGGCCACAGCCCCAGCCCTGTGAATTCCTGTCAAAGGAAACAAAGTAGAGCAGAACTTACAGCCAAAGTCCCTAAACCTGCATCCCGCCTGCTTTTGGTTCCAGATCCACTGTCCAGAGAGGACTTTGTCTCCTTCCAAAACTACGGAGGGACCAGGGAGCAAGGATCTCCCCTAGGTGGGGCCATGCGGGAACCTGCTCATGGTTCCCAGCGGCCCTGAGCTTGGCAGTTGTTTCAATATATCACATACCTCATCGTCTGCTTCTTTCCCTCCAGAGCAAAATGCAAAATGACAGAGTTCAGTCTGTCCCACAGGAGGAGGCAGGGCTCAGAGTCCGGGAAGGTGCTGAGTCCAACTCCTGCCAAAAGAATAAATAGCTGCTTCAGGAAGAGGCAGGCAGACAGGTCCCTTATAGCTTAGACATTGTGGGGTTTGCTCCTGCACCCCTGGGAAATGGACTGTTTATCAGGTCTGTTGTCTCAGAGATACAAACCAAGGCAAATCATCCCCCTGGACCCCCACTGCCACCAGGCTGACCTCCCTCATCAAGTGAAATTATGAGACCAAACCAGGCCAGATATCACAGGAGGGAAGGCCACCACTCTGGGGAGGGACAGCCTGGCCACCCATGTCACCATTCCTGCAGAAAAATGGGAACCACGTGAGATCCAGACTACTTTAAGGAACAGCTAGCTCCCAGGAGCAAAGCTTAAAAATCAACCAACCAACCAAAAAACTCCCACACACCCCAACCAGAAGTAGATGGGTAAAGCACTCCTGAGAATCCCCAAGGCTTGCATTCAAACTCCCTCCACCTCAGAGTTGTCAGAGCAAAGGCCTGCCCACGCCCTGCAGGTTTGAAAGGCACTCTCTTTGATTAGAGCACTGTATTTTACAGAATTGTATGAGATCTCCGCATCACAACCATGCTATATGACATTTTTTTTTTAAAGTACTGGGGGTGGAACCTTGAGCCTTCACACTGAGCAACATACATTCCTAGCTCTTTTTAGAATTTATTCTGAGGCAGGGTCTTACTAAGTTGCTTAGTTGCCCAAGTGAGCTAGAACTTTCAATCCTCTACCTCAGCTTCACAGAGTGTTGGGATTACTGGTAGGTGCCACCATACGTGGCTTCTAAGATTTTTCTTGTTTTGGTACCTGGGATCGAACTCAGGACCTTGTGCTTGTGAGGCAGGTGGTAGCACCACTGAGCTAAATCCCTCGCCTTGGCTTCTAAGAGTTTTAAAAGGTCACTGAGCCTCAGCCCTGCTGTTGGACTGAACAATGCTTAACTCTTCCCACACCCATCCCCTTGACCCAGAATAGAACCTGCCAGCTGCTGAGGCTCTTGGACTCGTGGGTTTTCAAGCTAAAGCTACAAAGCCAAAGCTTTTTCACAAAGCAAATGAAGTCATTCTCAACAACTGTACTAGAGATGACACAAAGGGCTTTGACTCCAGGGTGCAGCTGACCCAGAGTGCCCTCCCTCATCCCCTCAGGTAGCTAAAACACTTCCTTGAAGCTCTGGGAGCCCCAGAACAAGGAGGGAGATCGAGGCTGGACAGGGAGGAGTCAAAAACCGGGTCACTCGGCCACAATGAATCCAGTCTTCTCTTCTCAGGGTCGGAGCCAGTTGACTATAAACTGTGGGGTCCAAAAGTTCTCCCTGATGGCTTCTAATGTAAATCCTGCCTGCTGGCGTTGTACTCAACCCACACAAACACAAACCTTACAGCCCAGTCATTCCACTCGCAGCTCCATACCCCAGAGAGATACCCTAGAACACTCACAACACACCCCAAATGGACCACCTTAAGGCTCCTTTACAAGAGCATGAAAGTTGTCACTAGGTTGCAGTGTGGGATTCTGTGGGCAGCAATGAGAAGGAACAAGCCCAGCCCCTCCCACCAAGGGTGGAGCACACCCTTGGTGAGGGCAGGAAAGAAACTGGAACAAAAGGATCCACCCCTCCAGACTCCTTTCAAAGTTCAAAAGTAAGCAAAATCAACGTATTACTAGAAGTCAGGTTGATGGTTCCCTGAGGGCAGTATGATGGAGAAGGGCCCGAGTTCCTGGAGGGCTGGGCACAGTTCAGATTCAGTGCTTACACAGGTGAGTGAACTTTGAGTGTTAGGAATAAGGATCCCACTGGGGAAGGAGATCAGGGTGGGGGGGGGTGAGAAAAGGAAAGAGACCGAAGGGCCAGGCAGGGCAGTGACACACACCTTTAATCCCAGCCCTCAGGAGGCTGCGGCTGGAGAGGTGCTGCAAGTTTAAGGCCAGCCTGGGCTGCACAGTGAGTTTGAGGCCAGCCTGAGTTATAAAGTGAGATCTTGGCTCAAAACAAATGAACTAAAAACAAAAGAACAAAAAAGAAAGAGGATGTGTTACATAAATATAATCATTATGTACTGTAAATATGTAGTGATACCAATAAAAATTTAAAAACAATAAAGATCACAGAAGACTTTGTGCTGGACACTACATGCCCTGGGGACTGTCTCCTCCACCTCTCTCTCTAGGGCCACAAGACAGGGCCCAGTCCTTTCTTTCTCTTGAGTTCCCTTCCCAATCCCAAGTACTCTGGAGCCAGGGACGATTACTTTGTTAAATAACCCAGGAGCTTGACCTATGATCAGTGGAGAAGGGAGAAACATGGATGGGCTGGGCTGAAATAAACAAGCTTCTTTTTAAACTTTTCTGCTGTGCTGGGGATGGAATCCAGAATCTCCCGCATGCCAGGTAAATGTTCTCTCAATAGGGCCTCTTGAGCCAGTGCTGCTCACACTCACATAATTCCCTGCTTTCTAGTTTACAAAGCTGCCTCTCTTCTTTATCCCAGTGAATCCTCAAGATCACCCTCAAAGCAGGAAAGAATGCCTTTGATGGACCTAGGCCCTGTGAAGCTCAGCAGCTGGATGTTCCCCTTGATGGTCCAGTGCTGCTCTTCCAGGGGCCTCTGGGCGACAGGTTCAGGATCAGCAGGAGAATAAGGCTCCAGGTTAGCCTCAGCGTGGCAGGCAGAAAGCGAGCCAACCTGCAAGGCACCACGGGCAACTCCTAGCAGATTTAGGTGCTACCTTCCTCCTTCCCCTCACTCATCCTGGAGCTTGGAAAAACACAGGGAGCGCCCATTTCCGGTGGTTCCTTAATGGAGAATAGAACTGCAGCAGACGAGACTGCCTTTGGCTGCAGAACTCCGCTGATCAAAACCAGGGACTGGAAGCCAAATCTCCTCATTCCTGCCTGAATGACGAGCCCACCTGATAGCATCTGACAGCAGCCCAAATCCAGGTCTTGTTCCTCTTCATATCCAGAGACCGTGAATTCCAGGGCCTCAGGGTGGATGGAGGCAGCCGCACCCTTACAGTGCTGAGGCCTGGCTCTGCATCCCAGATCCTTTCCTACTAGAGGCCCCCTTGGTGGAGATTCCCACCCTGCTCTCCTCCCCGAGAATGTGAGGACTAACTGATCTCGGCACGGAATGCTAGACACAAAGGTCGCATAGTCATCTGTCTGATCCTAAGAACGTTTAGGGCCATCACAACAGATGTGCTTGCCCTTGCTTGCAAGTGATAGGGCGAGCCAGTTGGTTTTCTGCCCTGTGTGATAAGAATAATCGCAGTCCTCATCTCTCCTGGGCAGCCTTGGGGCTGTCAGACATAGACGCCAGGGCCTGAATGCCTGGGTGTGAGTCTGGGCTCTGTTCCTTTTGCCAGGCAACTTTCTAAACTTCTCCATGCCTCCACCTATAAATCCGCATTTATAAATGGAGATGAGAGCATCTGGTTGGGAGATGGCCCTTGGTACCCATTACTACCAGAATTAAAGGAGGTCATCCTGGAGAATTGACTCAAGAGAGTCTTCAGGTACCCAGTAATTGTTAGTTGCTGATGTTCGATTAACCCAATGTTGTCATTTTACATTTGTGTTACAAATGTCCATTTTGACAATGTGAGTCCTGGTGGAGAAGGAAAGGAGGGAAAGAGTTTTCTAGCATGCCGCTTCGGTTGTGTCCAGGGTGGGCATTGCTGCTCCTATGATGAGCAGCCAACCAGGATGCTAAACTCAGCACCAGTAAGGAATTAAAGGGATGGAGTTTTAAAAGGAAGATGCTTTACTAGAAGGAGGAAAGAGCAGAAGACAGAAAGCTGCCCTGTGTGGGGTGTCCTTTGTTCCTAACTTTATCAAGTGAGAAGGACTCTCCCTCCCAGGTCAGTACTTGGTCTTGCCACACTGTGATTGGCTCTCTGGACTAGATGGATCCCAGACCATTGGACAGTAACCCTGGCACCACTGTTTATGTGCCTCTTACCCATTTGCCGGGGCCTTGGGATTAACAGGTTGGTTAGGAGAATCCACACAATAAGGTAGAATTAATGACTAAGTAGAGATTAAGTAAGGGGGTGCATGTGTATCTGGTGTGTAATATGGAGGCAATAGGGAAAATACACACACACACACACACACACACACACACACACACACACACACGGCAGTGCCAGCAGATTTTTTTCATTTTAGAGCTTTACATTATTTATTAAGATAAAGATCTGAAAATTAGTGAGTTGGAGAAGCTAACCTTCTATCTTAGGAAAAGAACAATAGAATGAAAGAAACTTTAGACAAATTAGACAAATCCAAAGAGAAAGAATCTCCCCCAGCTCATCTTAGGAGGCCAGAATATCCAGACAAGTTCCGCATCAGAAAGGAAACTTACAGGCCATTTCAGTGTATAAGTGTGCATAACATCAGATTTTAGAAGAAAAGACAAAACAACTGTCCAAGCCACACTTCTGGTTACAGAATATGGGATGTTGGCTGTGGAGACGTCCCTTTAGGGGAAATAGTTTTGTGTTGGAAACTAGAAGTACAATGGCTGCCAGTGCGACATAAGCTTGTCCCCTCTCCTCTGGGCCTGTTTTCCCCATCTGTGAAGTGTGGGGTCCCTTCCAGCTCCGCTCTGCCCTGCCTGGCCTAAGCCTGGGGCTACAGCTGTGAATTGGGCTCCACAGAAATCAATAAGGAATCTTGGTTTCCTGCAGGAGTGACACGACAGGACTTTTACATTCCAAGTCCTTCTTCCTTCCAGAGATCTGGTAACTCAACCTCGTCCATCTATCCCTTCCCACGTGCTTCCCAAAGACCCCTGGAAAACTAAAGTGCTGGGAAAGGCGAGACAGTTCCACCCTTCAGGATTTATAAATCTCACGGTCGAGCCTGATCCCCTGTAGTCCCTCGGAGTCATGTTATGAACCAAGCAGCTCTGGCTTTCCACGGGAGCAGCCAGCCCACGCAGGAGCCCTCCAGCCTGAGTCCTCCCAAGGGAAGCCATGGACCCACCAGGGAGAGTAAA